TATATACATGTGTGTGAAAATATTGATCTGCCTGCTCGCTACCATGGTTAGAGTTGAAGAAAGATGTTCTAGACGGCCGTTGCTACCGCGGATGATAGACAGAAATGGCCAAAAGTAGTAGCAGAACCTCTGTAATGCCACTGTATTACATTGAAATAGCAGCTATTTCTAGAGCTCATTCTCGTTACTCTCGAGCATGATCGAAGACAGATTTGATTTCAATAACGCCCGCGTAAACAAAAACATAATCTATTCGCTGATCTTCTACGCCCCATTTATGATAGCAATGGGTCGGGGGGCGACGATGCAGCGGAAACAAAACAGCTAGAGCCGGAGTCTTTTCAATCACCCGTTTCTCAAGAGGAAAAATAGTCTGCGGACCGACCCATCAGCAGAGGCAACGACGATAACTGTAGTACTATACTAACGGAACGATGATAATAACAATGTTATCAATATGAATACTTTATAGAATAAATCATAAATTAAAAACATAAAAAGAAACTGGTCATAAATTTAGTTTTTTTTTATTGGTAAAATAAACCTCATGTTTCTGCTGAATCATATTGTTTGCTTCATGCTCTCGGTGCAATAGAAAAATAGGTCTATTTGATAATTATATACAACTTCCATTTTTTGTAAGAAAGGTTGCGTTTATGTATCGGATGTGTTTATGATACATGGTCGCAGAAAATATTCTTATGTATTTTCGTTTTCACAGAAACTTAACCGAAAGGTACAAGATTAATAATCTTAGGCCTTTCTACAGTTCTGTTTTTCTGTTTCGAATACATATCTTCGGCGCCAGTATCGGTGTGACGTTTTGCCTTCGTTCAAACGCTCGCAGCGTTTTCCCGTTGGTAAAATTTTCTAAATAGTCTTCTTCATGCCCGGTCATGAGATGCTTTCTAGATGAACGCTACGAACGAACGTTTCTTTACCTACCCCCAACACATCTTGCTGTTACTAAGCAGGAGGATAGCTACAATCATCCTCAGTACTAACGGCAGCATCAACGTTCGTCGGACAAATTTGGTCACGTAACTGATAAACGTGATATAGTTACAAGAGCTAAACTTGTCTTTCTTTAGTGAGTACCTGTTATGGAAGTGCGTTTCAAATAATAGTAGTGATCTTAAAGGAATCGATTTGTTAAAGACAGCTTGACTTGTAACATACACAATAGTGATTTAAAGGCGCTGAATCTGCCTGTTTTGTCGGCACGAGGTCTTCTGTCCAGGCGTTATAACACACTATTACTGAACTAGCACAATGGAAGTTTGAACTTAATATTACTATATATAATATTACTATATATATATATATAATAATGCGGGCATCATTGGCCGTAATGTTAGGTAACCCTGTGCGAATATCACTAAACGTTCTTGCTGTAATTAAGAACCATAGACAACCATTGTCTAAACTGAATTGCCGCTTCAGGTAAAGACACCGGTCGGCATTGTTAATATTTAGCCCCATTCCCTTGCTGTCTTTCTACGATTTCTTCATTCTTATTATTCTACGCGGTAGTAATAATCTACAGATCGCCAGACAGGCGTACGTACTAAAAGTGGCCGCTCAAAGTACCAACTGACTGGATTAAAAGGGCCAGTCCGTCATTAAACGTAACCCGTTACGTGACAGTACCCATCATAATGTCCTTCTATGATGAGACACCCCTCGAGAGTGTTTTTCCTCGTTCTATGAATAGGCCTCCAGGCAGATGACAAACGAACGTTCAATGCACAAACGACGACAAGAGCTATGGCGCCGCTGCTGCTGCTGCTGCTCGTGTTGACACGACAGCTGTTCCATTGCGTCCAATAACTCTATTGTCACCAAACGCTGGAGCTATCGGAAAATGAATCCTCGGTAGATAATGAAGGGATTGCTGCAAGGTGTTGCCAGCGTTGCATGTCCTTTATCATCCACTTTTTCCTATTGTAGTAACACTACATTTGCAGCCGAGCGTCCCATGGTCCAAAGCTGCTCCAGTCATAGATTCTAGGATAGTCATAAGACCATTTTGCCAACGGCTTTCATTGAAATACGTCCCACTGCCTATCACCAAATGACGCTGCGATCTATTTCGTTTTGAATACAACAAAGGTTACAGCGTAGGTTAGCTGCAAGGAGATTTTTCAAAAATGACTCTCACGACAATTTTGAAAAAAAAAAATAAATTGTATAGCAAAGAACTATTGACATAAATAATTATCTTAAAATATAATTGACTTACGACAACCAACTTATATAGAGTACTCCAGAACTTCGTTTGGTGTCGTTAAATTATTTTTTTCTGTTTTTCATACACCGTTTCCACCTCCTCCTGTGCAGCCTTGTATGTGAACAGCACCGTCACCTGGTGATGATAAAAAAGGGTAAAAAGAGATTTTTTTTTAATTTTACAGTGACAACAAGCGAAACCCCGCGCGTTTCCTGAGAGGTTAACGTCTTTCGCCCACTTATTTGTTAATAAATCAGAAAAAAATTGCACAGGAGGCACATGGCTGTCTGACAGGACATGTTTCTGCGGCTGTAAACAAGAGGTACCGCTTTTGCTCGTGTATTGAAAGTGCTGTCGCTGCGTTGCTAGGGGCGACCGTTCAAAGTCTCCGAAACTAAAAGTTACCTGGTAGAATACGTGTAATGACGGTTGCCTTAGATTCAAAAGAGAAGAATACGAAAGAAGAGACAAGCGATAAAGAACAACGAGTAGATTTATTTTGCTTTTGGTGCAGTGTCGAGAAGAAAAGGGACGAAGAAAGATCTACTCAGGCGTGGCTGTTGCTGGCCGGCCGGCCGACCGACCGACCGACCGACCGACCGCCGACCGGCTGGCTGGCGGTGGGCAAGCACACGCTACTGGAATGGTCCTTGTCGTCAGAGAGCTTTTCTGACGCTTTCTGGCGTTCTGTCGTCTGTCAATGCGATCCGGCAACAATATCTCTAGACTTTGGATATAAAGCGACATTTCGAAGTCGTATTGCTGGCAAATAACAAAACAGCACAAAGGAGGAATCCCTAGGTGATATCTACAAATCTCATGACTAAAGGGTTCGTAGCGAACAGGGTGTCGGTGGTAAAAGTAGAATGATAAGCGAATGTTGGAAGGATAACCCGGCGAGAAGAATAATTAAAACGCCACTATACTCATTAGTTTAGCAGGGTGGAAACGAGTATGCGTGTCTGCGCTCAAAGAGTAAAAGATGCCAACGAAACCGATCGAACAAATAAAGAGGTACCTAGCCTCCTTTACAAGCAGCGCTCGCTAGATACGTGTTCTATATTTCATCATACACGTCTCTCACCCTCCCGCTTTTCTATAGGCGTTTGCTCGTTATTTCAACATTGTAGTCCGCTTTAGCGCAATACGTTTTTTAGTTCTAATATATATTATATATGGACTGTGCAGTGTTGAGAAATAGTGCGAACCTAAGTAAGAGATACCCTATTTCTCTATGTGTTTTATACTTTTGCGCGCGTACCAACTTGATTTCCCAGTGACTCTGGCCGACGTAGACGTTTTCGTAAGTCTAAACATAAAGAAAAAAACTAATGGATACAAACACTATGACTGTTGCATTTTCTACGCAAACGAGTCAGGAATCTATATTTAGTCGTTTGTTTTTTGCTACGTAACATCATACGTACATAAATGTTCGACCATAAAAAAGCAAGACACTTACTCAGTGCAGGGAAGCGGTTTCGGCTGGAAAAGCATGTGCTTGGCAAAACTAGCCAGCGTTCTCGCTTCCGGTGCTCCATTCACTAAAGAAATGGTCGTCGACGACGACGACGCCGCCGCCGCCGCCGCCGCCGCCGCCGCCGCCGCCACCACCGTCGCTGCTGTCGCTACACCCAGCCAGCACCAGCACGAGCAGCAGCGGCTGGAGGCTAGACGGGGCCTTCATATTTGATCTGGCCAATCTGGTTCCGACCAGCGAACGGTTTTCCAATATTACCATAGTGTTATTTGAAAAAGCCGGCAGGGAAGAAAGACCTTTTGTCAGTTGCTTCGTCCAGTGTGTGACTGGGAGGCACCCGTTTGGGTCTGTCGGAGAAAGTCGAGGCTGACTCCAGCGCAGCCCGACCCAACGTGCTGCTCTAGATTGATCATTATTACATTTAATCTTAGTAGTATTATAAATGTGTGCGTCCCGTTTACGTATGTAAAATTGTGCTTGGGTTGGTACAAAATTGTTTTCAGTGTACTATCGCTCTGCGACGACCTACAGGGTGTTTGTGCTAGCATTTGAATAGGTAACTGTAAATGTGAGATCGAGTTAAGTAAACCGTAGGAACAATCTATTTCTCGCAATTACGTGTAACAGCGCTTACAGGTAGGTAATATAAGAGTGGCAATACAAAGGCAATCGTAATCAGTGCCGAAGACCGTTACAAGGAACTGTCCCACTACAACTGTTGTTAAAGTTAAATATATTTAACCATGTAAAGGCAAAATGGATACGCGTCAGATGATCAACATCACAGTTAAGCCCATCATCGAGCTATTAGGATAGCATAAATCGGCGCTCACGGCTACATGGACGCGGCTTTAGGACCACACTAGAAATTTGACGGATTTACGCTTCATTCGCTAGTCGCTGCTGTGAATTTTAATGGTCAGTTCTGAATCGCTGCTACTGGGATCGTCGTCGTTACCACGTTCGGCCGAGACCTTCTTTCCCTTTAAGTTGCGATAACGTGAGACACATTTGCTGATGTTTGATCCACGCCGAATGCATGCTTTAAGTGTTCATAAAGCATACGCTGTGTACGCGGTCTAATGGCTAACCTAGTGAAGAGAACGCGGAAATACTAGACGTCTCACGTCGCTACTACCAGACCAGCTCCAGCAACGGTCGTGTTCAGCCGGTAAAACCATTATCGTGTCACCGAAATATTGCCATCATCCATCCCTAGGCGACTGAACGATCTGCTAGCGATTTGTATCTTGTACGAATACCTTCGTAAACAAAAGGCTGAAATGACACAAGTTCACCGTCGTAAATGGCCCCCACTACAGTTTCCCCCATACTAATCAAGGAGGACGACGCTGCTGAGCGCCGCATGACGGAGAGAGATTGAGGGAAGACAAACACCGCTTACTGCAAAATCTGATCACTGCTGAAAGGGATTTATCTTTATGCGTAGATATCGAGTCAAAACCAAGAATTCAAGGAACGCTCAGAGAATGATTATTATTACTATTATATTATCAAAAAGCGTTCGCAACGTGGAGAAAGACCATGCTATTGACGGGCCGAGTACTGGACAAATGTTTGCATCACACATGCGTCTTAATCAGGCCCATGCTGCCCAATTTCTCCTCAGCTGATACCAGCATCCTGTCAAACATATTTCTACGAACGAGTACACGACATAGTTTCTTGTCATTTAAAGCAAATCTTACCAGACCGGTGTCGGAATTAATACAAGACCCTAATGAATTGAATTGTTAATAGAACGAAACTAAAATGCAAACATTAGGTGTGCAGAACAGGTCTCGTGCGTACATGCTAACCCACTATCGTACCAGATATACCATTGGCAGCGATGAATTGGCAGCATAGATACAGCACGGAATTTTCAATGTAGTTTCAAGGACTAATGTTCTCATGATGATAAAAAGCTACGATATTCTTCAGGTTTCTTTAATATAATATATCTGGAAGCTAGCAGCTCCTTGAATCCTTACGCTTAGTCTAAATAGACCTTTGTAACAATCGGTTGCAAGAATCGGAAACTGAGCCTAAAAACGACTAAGCCTTTCGCGTTCATTGACTAGTCAGGGTGAAGCAATGAACTTGCGACGAGACAAATCTGCTCCAGCACATTTTATACAGAAAAACAGACGACTCCACATGGATATGTGATTATAATAATTATTATTATTACGGCGTACTCATGTGAGCAACTCAAAAGTAGAGACCGTATTGATATAACTATTGAATTGCTACAGAGGAACTACCCTAACTCGTTATTTGGTCCTTACGATAAAACATCTTAATTTTGAAGACCTATAAGATGCTACTGCACTGTTGCGGGAGGTCGCTTTTTCCTAGACTGTGTGAAAATTTACCAATATAACTCCATCATTTTATTATATGTGGAATGCATGTCAATCGTCTTCTTTATGTAGTCCCTCTGCGTGGATTTTCAGCACGTTTACCGCAAGAATGTTTCACAGGATGGGATACACGCATACACGTTTATAGACCGACAGGCAGATAGGCGCACGCTAACGTACGTACGTACGTACGTACGTACGTACATATCCAGACAAATAATATTTTACTTTTTCTTGAGTTGTTTCGAGGTGGCATACAGAATATTCCGTTATGATGATAATAGATGATTATTTCCTGTTTGCACAGACGCAGCGAGGGCCGCGACCATTACAAGCAGCCATCAGTTGATGCTGTTACTGTTTTCGGAGTCCAGCGCTCATGGTCCCATAAACACGTAGGGAGCACAGACCACCGGCCCTATTCTATTCTTCATTCATTCATTCTCTACTCACCCGTGGCATGCTATGTCCGCCTGGGGATTCTCTGCCGTTCGTATAATCGGGCAACGGCGGTGGCTGGCGTTTCGCTTTGGTCGACCCTAGCAGTGGTAGTAATCGGGGGTCTTGACGATAAGCAACCCCTGATTTTCTCAATATTCTCAACACTCCACAATCGACTGAGACGAGCGTCGGTCAGTAACCGGCGTAGCTGTTGGCCGCTTTCGTCATCAGCAATCGCTCCTGGTACTCATGTGATATTGTCTTGTTTCTCTCACGAGAAGATACTCAGCCAGGGGCGAAAGGACGAATCATCGTTGGGAGCAGTTGGTGTTTATTTATAACGCTTCCTTGTGGCTGGCGATAGTAGTGGTAGAGACTGCTTCTCGGCCAATACCAAAGTGTGTTAATCGAGGACCTAATAAAGTCGGTGGCCTACAAAAGCACTATATGTTTATAGCGGTGACATGACACCGAACGCAGCAGACGAAAGAAAAAGTATACACAATGCAACCATAATGGTAATAACAATTATCGTGCTACTAGAATTTTGACGAAGATAACGTTAACAATAGTTGCTAGCAGTACACATACAATGGCAAATACTGTTACCGATCGTTTACATCGACTTGTTACTTTATGTTATACTTAGATCTCTCGTCCCATTGCCGATTAATACTTTTTTTAGCGAAAAGTCCGAGACGTCCTTCCTGCAAACTTCTCTGTTGTGGTTGATTGACCTGGCGGGATCACTTCTTCTTGGTTTACAATCGGTAGGTGAATACCACATGGCGCGCCGCCGCACGAACTATTATATACACACATATGCTTGTTCGTGAGGAACTGCAGTTTGGCTGAAGGTCCGAACCCGCATCGCCTATTTTTTCATGAAGGTTTTCATCTCACAATGGACTAACTAGCAATGGTAATGACAACGTCTATAGACGCCCGTCGGTTCGCCTAGTGGTACTGGCAATTACTGGCTTTGTAAGCACTACAATATCTGTGAACTGTAATTGTAAGATTGAATCACGAATTTGGCCCCACGTCCCAATCAAAGGGGACCATTGTCACGTTATCATCCCAACTGCCCAGTCGCTACTGTTCAGCTGGGATTGTCGTCACTATTGGAGCATACCTGAACCGTACACACAATGAATATCACTATTATTAAGGTCATTATGTTATATTCTAGTTAACTTCGGGGCTATCGGAATATACGGTGATTCTGGATCGGTCTCTGTGCTCCATAACCCTACGTTCGTTTCCAACGTCCGCCTGGATGGGTGGCTAACAACTCTATTGTATGAACTGCTGTTACTGCTGGCAAATACTAAGCGGCATGCAGCTTTCCCTGTCGATAGGGGCCCATTAATTTTTACTGTCGGAGAAGCAGCTATCGCAGAAGTTTACCCGATGCCGACTGGCCGACCATCGGCTTCTGTAGTCGCATTGGCTTGATTTGACTCAACTTAAGTAACATTGCGATGATGATTGAGTTTTCAACGCGTACAGATAGATATCACTCTTGACCCGCAGATCGTTATCGGGGCGCCATAGACAAGGTGACCGTCCCCACCCACGTGTAGAGGGTGCATCGTCTGGCCTGGCTCATTCGTATGACTGCGTGATACAATAACGTAAAACGACGCCTTCCAATATTATATCAAACCAGGAAAAATATATCACAGTACTATCATGTACTGTTGGAATACGAGCGAATATTATCTAATGGTAGCTGGCAGCAACGACCGCTGTGCTGGAGAAATCTAGCCTTTCAGCTGACGAGACAATCCGGACATCTTTCCGGTTACACTTTTATCTCTGTATTAAACCTTACTGCAACGACATCGTACTTTGAAACGACAGGCCATAGTTCCTATGAAATGACGGATACGGCATCGACAGGAGCGCTTGCCTGGATTTATTTTTGAAATGTATAATAAATAGGCGAACAAATAAACGAATTGGGCGGCGAGTGATAGCGGATGTCATTTGGTATCTACTATCCATGTCAGTGCTTTGCCGACGTAAAACATCGAGTGAAGCTTCGGCAACGTAAACGAACGTCTACAAATGCTGCGTTGATCAACACCGTAAACCAAAATTGTCTATTCGTATCGTACGTTAACTTCATTCCTAGTACCTAGATATAGCCGCAAGCCGTTCTTCTAAAATAGGAAAACAAACGTATGCTAAAATAGTAAATTTGTTGAAACGTTCAACGTTTACATCGTGCACATAGATCCCGAATAGATACCCATATGTATACTTTAACTAAATGTACTAAAGAGTAACAAAGGCCTACAGCCAAGTCTTCGCGATGGTACTTGCTGCTAACCTACGTTGAAGAGCTGCACAACGCCTCCGCATCACGTCATTACGAGAAAAGCTATGGGTCAGTATCTTATTAGCGCAGTTACGCTAACCAGAGTCTGTCGATCCGTCATTTTCAACTGCATTTGTTTTCAATCAATAAAGTTCGAAGATCGCTTTTTCTTAGCGTGGCGTATTGTGAACGTTTTTTTTTTGTTTTTTTTTTTTTTTAACACTTGCGTCAGATACAGCTTCATTCTATCACTTTATTGCAGCAAAGTCAACTGAAATAAAATACAATAGCAACATAATATTACGATTTATAAATGACTTTTATCGTTCTACATTTGTTCGTTGACACACCATGAGCGGCGTATCTGCATAATAGGTGAAGCTTTTGTGCCGCTTTGCAAGTCTACTATCGTCATCAGACGAACGTCTGCGGGAAGCGATAGCTGGGAGAAATCTTTACTCAAGAAGAATACCATACAGTTACCTTTTGTTGCTGCCGTTGTTGCAAGCAACGTTGCGATGATTTCAAACATATTATCACAGGCCACATCACGGGATCCTGTGCGAGCTAATATTAAATTGGTTCGTCATTTTTGATCGTGTCATATTTTTTAGCTTGCCATACTATTGGCAATAGTTATTGCCACTATGGATCGTTGTACCTGAGGCAAGCCACACTTGGTCACACCTAACTCGAAGAGACAACGAAGCATGACGTATAGTCAGGAGGAACACGCTATAACAATCACGAGCATAATAGTGAGAAAAATAACAATGATAGTGTTGTAGCAGTATCGTAAAATAGACAGTTCGTCGCTTCAGAGGGCAAGGCTTCTTAAGCACTCCCGTCTTCCCCCATCACGCGCCCGCCCCAGCGCAAGCACCGTCAAAAAGGAAATAAAATGATGTTTCGGGCCGCTCAGACACGTTCTGGCTGTTTGAGCTGGAATGTCGCTGAGCGATGCTGCTGGCGCGGTAAAATCGCTACCCAACTGCGGTAGCTTTTCCGACGCCTTCCGTATAACTCCGTAGCCAGAGTCAAAGATAGGTTAGGGTGGCGTCTGGCCTTTAAGAGGTTGTCCAGCTGTCGGGCTCTACCTCCGAACCCCCTCTAACGGCAATCAGCTGATGTCAACAATAGCCGAAGTCTTTGTCGTTGTCCCTACACGGACGTGTACCTGTCTATGTGTGTACAAGAAAAACTTGGAGTCGAATCGGCGTTTCGATGTCACTAATTTTATATGCCCGTATATACTTCGATTGTGAGTAATGTCTAACACACGTAGCTACTTTACGCTAGGCCGCTGGTAATTCTGACGTTGCAACACTGTTCACGTGTACTCTCTCCTCCTCACGAGAGTCAGGCAACATTGGGTCTCGGGACGTGGGTGCTTAAGCAGTACTTGTTTAGCGGCATTCCGGGTAATGCTATGTCACCGAACGACAAAACCGGCCATCGTCATCGTAGCAACCGCACCGTGTAAATGAGCGTTATAGCGGTTACGACTGACTGAGTAGGTAAACCAGATCAGGTGTTGCTGCAGTCAATGTGACTGCTCCGACGCTTGCCCGGTTTGTTGTCATCGTCGGTGACTGCTAAGTTTCGGTAGAGACTAGCGGTGACGACGTCGCCCTCGCGCTGGTGACGGTTGTGTGCCGATGTTAAACAATTCGGACGTAATGACAAACTGCGAAACGACCGACTTTGCAGATCAACAAATGGTCCAAGTGAGTAAGTGATATCGTTAGGCCAATCCATACACCTATTTACTGTGTACGTACTTAAGTCATTGCAGAGGTAGCTCTAGCGACAAATCGAGTGACGGCCATTGGACCATTGTTGGGAAATATTGTGTGTGGTGTTTATAATATGTAATGATCTGATTAAAAAAATTATCGCATCTGGCACTTAGGGTAATGAGGCAAGTTGTACTGTTAAAGCTGTGCTGTTTCGGTAGGAGAAGCTGACTTTCATCTTGCGCTGGATGCGTACCGTAAGGTGTTTAGTTTTTAGCGCAATCGATGCGGCAGTGACTTTTGTCCTACGAGTACGGTTTGCCTAAATCGGCAAAACTAGGAACCAGTCGGATCGTTTAGCGGTAACTTTACTTACCACAGGTCAATTCGTTTTTTTCGCACCGCTTTATTGGATACGCGTCTGCGGATTTCGCCTGTGTTGTTGGCGAAGCAGCATCGCGCAAAAATGGGACAAAAACGGACGAGTAAACATCTCTTTTACAATTCTCGAAAAACGAATTCAGATCAAGATATTAACCAAATCAATTCTGTCAAGTTATGAAAATATCTCATATGGAATAGATAAACATCTATCCTATCTTCCTATCTATTTTCCTAGTTGACAACAATGCACGAAAGCCTATCGTAATACTAGAGATGAAAGATATAGCAACGCATCGGGATCATCTAAGCCGGGCCCTCGGCAGTGCGCGAACCGGGTTCGATTCTAGAAACATTGTACTAATGAAACAGGCGGAAATCTCTCTCAGTAATTAGGTGGCACTACCGGAAGAATCTACCATTGTTTTTATTTACCAGTAGCAGCTTCCTTTGTGTCTATAGCACGTGTCATTGACAATATGAAATGAAAATAAATTTGTGCTCAAAGAGCTACATATACGCGGATGCACTGATGTTGCATTGTTTCACTACAATTCAGAAGCTGTTGGTGCAGCCATCACAACGCTGCTTCCTCTATAACCATGTGCCACATTCGATACTACCACATCCCTTCTACGAGCAGCACTGCTGCTCCTAGAAGAGATGTGTTAAGAGAAGAGATGTTGTTGAAACAAGAAAAAGTCACTAGCTGATTTTAGCTACACCGATCTATCTAAGCACCATTACGGTCTCGTGCAGCCGGGCCTTGATGGATGAAAATGATTTTAGCTCCAACAGAACCGCGCTCAACCAATCGGCACTGAGAGGTCCTCTTACGGCCGTCTTCAGCACTGTTTTCATTTCGACGTAACGAGTAGGACCTCACTATGAGTCGCTAGTGGGTTGAATTAGTCGACAACATAATGAATTAAGAAGTCATTGCCTTAAGCCGCTATACCGTTGTCGTCGTACGAAATAGCCACTATGAACCGTGCTGGGAAATTGTGAACGTGTCTGCGATGTTGAAATAACAATCTAAAATGCTCATGACCAGAGTACTGCAATGATATTTCTGTGTTTTGCAGAACTCTGCTCAAGGGCCATCCGCTAACGATGGGCCCCGCTTTAAACGGTGAACACCAGAAGACCAATTGGACTATTGGGCTAATAAATGCATCGCTCGGAAAATACCTAACGGCCGAATCGTTCGGCTTCAAGGTGAACGCAAATGGAGTCGCGCTTAAAAAGAAACAACTCTGGACACTCGAGGCTTATGGAGAGGATGAGGCCATTTGCCTTAGGAGCAACCTCGGACGGTAGGCCGAATTTCCAACTAATAGAATCACCTTAGGACTAATAGCGATCATAGAGCAATTCTATTTCTTTCGACTTCGCGAAGAAGATACGTTGTAGAATTCGTTGTGCAAATAAGTGTAAAGTATGTCTTATTTGGAGATGTCTAAAATGATCTTAAATTTAGCAGACTATCTAGACTAAAATAACCTCATAGAAGAATTTAGATATCATCGTTTATTAAGAAGCTCTAGGTGACCTGAAGTCAATTCTGTTTTATGTCAAGAAATTTTTCTCCGAGTTCGAATATGCAGTGCTTTGTAATGATACAAGTTTCAGGCTCTTGAATTTCACGTTAGCATAGCCTGACCTATTTCTAGCAAACCGAGTTAAAGGCAGAGTCCTCCGCAATCAAATAAGGCCAAGAGAAGGACAATGAATGCAAAGATTTCTTTGCCCGTGCGTAGCTAATCTAATATCCTATAGAATTTGTTTCAATAGTATAATGCTTTAAAGCGGGCAGATTCAGCGACAGTAAGACTAATTATAACAGCAACCGCTAACATAGAAGTGGCACTATTTCAATCATCTGGCGCATTATTATTGCGCCCACTAGGTAACGTGTTAGTAACGATACGTGAGTGTCTGCAAGTGTTCACAGGTGCGGGATAATTGGATTGTAATGATATCCTACTTGTCCTTGTAGGTATCTCGCTGTGGATCAGTTTGGCAATGTTACCTGTGACAGCGAAGACAAGGACATCGGTGCCAAATTTACCATTAGCATGACTGGAGATGCAAAAGGTCAGTGGGCACTCAAAAACGAGAATCGCGGTTACTTCCTTGGTGCCAGCGGGGACCAGCTGATCTGCAACACCAAGGCGCCCTCAAGCGCCGAACTGTGGACAGTGCATCTTGCTGCTAGGCCCCAGGTAGGCGTAGGCAATGCGTCACCGTAGGAGTTTCTTGTTCCTCAAATCGCTATCTTGTTATCGTGCGAATATCAGAATACATCTCAAAAACCTATGTTTAATATCACGTAAATGCTAGGTTCAGAAAGAATCGATAGGGGTTGCTGCCTTCCTTTGTGATATTTTTTCTAGCTGTTTGATTATTGTTGAATTGCTACTGTTAACTTGAAGACTTGTGCTTCCTATTTATTTAATCTAATGTAGGTGACGATCAAATCAGTTGGTCGCCGTAGGTTCGCCCGGCTTTCCGAGGCGCAGGACGAAATTCAGGTCGATGCGACCACACCTTGGGGTGAGAACACGCTCTTCACGCTCGAGTTCCGAGATGGCAAATATGCTGTTCATACTGGCAATAACAAATATCTGTCGCCTGATGGTAAACTGCTAGCCAAATGCGAGGCCTGCTGTCTTTTTGCCGTCGAGTTTCATGGAGGTTTCCTGGCGTTGAAAGATGCCAATATGGGTTATCTGTCGCCTACCGGTAGCCGCGCCGTTATTAGGTCCCGCAGCAACACCGTCACCCGTGACGAGCTCTTTTCGCTAGAAGACTCCGTGCCTCAGGTAAGTACTACGAAATGACCGATATTAGCTCTGGGAAAAAGTTATGAAACAGTTTTTACGTAGGATGAACCGGTACATATTGAATGAAGGCTCACATAAGACATTGAGATCCATCGTTTGAAGAGGTTGCGATATCTACGTCATTCGCTAACTTCCTATTGACTCGAGACAGAATTTCAGACACGAAGAGTCATAATCACTCCTTTCTGATCTGGACTGTCGTAATAGAAATGTTGTTGTGTTCAAGAATCGCCGCGCATATGAAGGGCCTTTCAACCAAGTTTCAACAATACGATAATGTCAACGTAGTTCTAATACAGTCGCTACTAATAAACTATTATAATTCCTACAATTTAATAGGAGCTAGCTGTTTTTTTTTGGAGAGCAGTGGCATAGACTGACGCACTACGTATGAATATGCTTTGAATAATAACTAGTTAAAGACTGAGCATCGTAGATCTGCGCGAGCTCTTCGAATAGCGCGGTTCTGCGGTCGGGTCAATGAATGCTTGTGAATTGATAGCCAGTTTTTGATGACAACAAAAACGTTGTTACTCCTGCTACTGAAATTGCTGATCTCATGTACAGCGATGACCTAGCTAGTTTTTGTTAGGAGCTGCTGAGTCACGACGAACAAAAGAGCCATTGTCCGCTAACAGTAGCAGCATCATGATGTCGTTGCTATCGCTGGACTGTTGTCATTTTGTGAAACAACAAAAGTGGGCAAGATACCTGCACTGAATAAAGCCAGAACCATTGAACGCCTCGTTCTCGGAGCTAAATGATGATTGGGTTTTTGTTCGTGCTCGACAACACACAGTACAAATCTGCCATTTAGTTATCGTGCGTAAGAAAAAGACTAAGTGCTATTACAGACGTTGCTTCTTTAGTCATTTGACGTTTGTCGAAAGACGCACAAAGCTTAGCGTTTTATGGGCATACGGTAGATCAGGTAACAACTCAACGACTGGCTACGAATGGTATTTGGGGTTGACCGACGTCGACGTGGTACCGTTAATACAAAGCTGACTACCAGAAAAATGATGTCGCCGAATAAAAGAGCCGACCAATTTTACCATAGAGCGAACAGATTACGGCGTTAAAAAGTAAGGACTCTTCATAAGCTCTAATCTAAAAGGAGGATGAATTGGCACAAAGTTTTTCGATACGTGCCCGATTGAGTAATATATAATAAATAAAAAAAAAAAAACATAATAAAGCAGTCCCGTTGTCCTATTTAAATTCTGAAGGCCACTTGATGATTTGTGTATCGCCGCATGAGTGCGCTGATTTGGTTGACGATGGCGTTACACAGTGGTCTCTACAGTGGAACACAGTGGAATCTTCGCCAATTACAGCTGATCATCACAAAAGCAACAGTCGATGGAGGAAAATTATCAGGATGCTTTTCTGCCATTTCGATGACCTGACCCATCAAGTGGTTTGTTGTCGAGCATTTTTAAATGATTTAGCCGGTAGATTAAAAATATTTTGCCAATTTCCGTCGGGATTAATTAGAACGTCAGCGTAATTAAAAAAAAAAAAAAAAAAAACAACTATCGAGTTCATCGTTGTTCGTAGGTCGATTTTGGCAACTTCACGTGATGAAATCAACGCCTCTTGTATTTACCGTTATATCTGTCGTAATAATTTCACCAGGCTTCGTTCGTTGCGGCCCTGAACGGAAAGTTCGTTTCGGTAAAGCAGGGTGTCGACCTGACAGCGAACCAGGACGAAATCTCGGACCATGAGACGTTCCAGCTCGAGTTCGATAAGGCCACCCAGCGTTGGTTGATCCGTACGATGCAGGACAAGTATTGGACCCTTGAGCCAACTGGCGGTATCCAGGCGAGCGGGGAGCGCGCCTCTAGCAATGCACTGTTCCGACTTGATTGGCAGACCGATGGTAGTGTAAGCTTTATTGCCAACAATGGAAAGCTTCTGGCCATTAAGAAGTCCGGTCACCTGTACGCCAATGCCGACTCGGCGCAGGATGAGAACGTCAAATTTTATTTCTTCCTCATTAGCCGGTAAGTATGTATGTATGTAGTCCGTCTGATTAGTTTTAAATGATAATAATCCAAAGACAATTGATCAATTTCTCCCAAATTTATCAAATAGAACATTTGAGACATATGATAAGAAATGCGTGACCTTTATATAATTCTAGGCCAATGTTGGTACTCAAGTGTGACCAGGGCTTCGTTGGCTTCAAGAGTAACTCTAGTGCTAAGCTTGAGTGTAACAAGGGCTCGTACGAGACAATCCTTGTAGAACGAGGAGAGAAGGGTGTCGTATACTTTAAAGGTAGGCTTCTGCTTGAACACCGGTTCACTAAAATGCTTATATTTATATAATGTGGTCTTTTAAGACAAGAAGCATCGTCCTAAGGTCTTCGCGAAGCTCACACTTTTCATAGTTGAGTATTTCGGGGACACTGACTGTTTGAAAGCAGTTGTAGATCTAATTCTATTTTATCCATGAACTTTTAGCACAGCTAGCTCAAAAATATTTTTTATTAATGATCCATGATAGCTTATCATTTAGGCTATAATAGGGAATGGTGATATTATCGTTCTTTGAATCTGTATCTTTAAATGTGCACATATAATGTATGAGTTGTCCATCTGACAATGCAATGGATATACGTTCTGTCGTTGTCGCTATTAAAAACAGGAACAAGCGATGCTTACTGGAGTGTGGCTGATGACGGGAGCATTACCGTGGACTCGGAATCACGTAGCGAAGGATTCACGTTCGAGCTCCGCGAGCCATCTCGTTTGGCCATCAAGCTTGCCTCAACCGGATGTTACGTTATAGCTGAGAAAAATGGGCTGTTCAAAGTTGGAGGACCCGACCCCGCTAAGGCCACCCTGTGGGAATACTAATTTCAATAAATAGACATTTACACCACTGAAACGAATTGGCTGGCTCTAGCGGAGCAGGAGCACCAGCAGGGATAAGGGCGAAGGGCAGGAACAGCATTAAACTTGCCGGAATCAACGATTTCTGGAGAAGTACGCGGTTCATATAAACTGACTTGAGCAGATACTGAGCCACTTCTATTAGATCCGGAATATTTTCTCTTTAAATCCGTGAGGCACTAATTATATCGCAGTATAAACACACACCTATTCGTGCCTAAGTTGGCCTTGCCCCTATTAAGAGTTACTAGACCTATCGAAAGTTTTCATTCATATCTAACCTTCAGTATTGGCTGAAGGCACTGTGTCAACTCATTGCCGCTGTATAACTGCCCATGGAATAGCTAAAAAAGTATTTTTTCTTAATAGAAGAAACCCGTGAAAAACGCATAACCATTCGCCTGGAAATATGATAGTTAATGGTTTGCTGATAGAATTTTTTGAAGCTTGACCGAGACGCATAGGACCGCTGCAGACGATGTGTGTCTGACTGAGCCCTAGTTAGCGTACACCGTCTGCAGAGTACGTGACCCAGGAAAGTCGGCATACATACGGCAAACATAAGCCTGTTATGGCCGTGAAAAGGAATTGCAAATATACGGTTGCACGACGTCACCAACAATAACCTTAATTAGGTGTTCTGAAGCATACTTTATTTTAAAAACACCAAAAAAACGAGTGTCCTTAATTCATAAGCTGTTGATTAATGTCGATCGTGCTCTAAGGAATAAAACTGAAAATCTTACCTTATTACGGAAAAAAAAATTAACGCATTTCTTCCCTCGCCTAAGTGTATTGAAATATTATTATAACGATGTCTTTATTTCGACACCGATTCCCTTTAACGTTCAAACGAACATAGAAAAGGAACAGAATCTCCAAAATTGTCATAAGGGCTCGCCCAATAGAAAGATGTGAGCGTTTTTGTTTCATTAGATATACACTGAAAAGAAGAGATACGAAGAATGTTCACTGAAGATACGCCTCGTCATTTGCGTGCTAATTATGCTAGTAGCAATGCTCATCGTATACTGAACATATCGCTTAACACTCAATGGCACACCCGCTAACTCTAGCTGCTTGACAATGAGTGCATATATACATACATACATACACAGCTTTCGAAGAAGATAGAACTACAATACACGTATGATAACTAATGTGAAAAGAAGAAGATCTATGAAAGGATCTACTGATGTTAAGCAAAAAGCGAGTTTCGCCGCATGGGCTATCCGCCCTCGTGGTTGAGGACTGAGCGTGGGATCCGTTATTGTGCTAAACTGACTGGTTTTCCTTTCTTCATTATTAATAAAACATGTTAATAATAAGTATTCACTTCTTTATTAAGCTGGCTACAGTATGTGTTCCGAATAGGCACCGCAATGCTTAAGTTAACAAAACCCAGTATTAACCAAAAGGGTATTATAATAACATTTGATTAATAACCGTTGATTTCACAGGACATCAATGAAATCGCGCAAAAGTCGGAGCTCTACATTGACCTATGTAAAACTGAGGAAGGTTGTTGGTTATTGAAATAGTACAAGGGGCATAAGGTTTATTATTGCACGCGGTTATCAAACTACAGGAATACCTAGATGCTACTTTAGCTCACATGGGTTGATCATGCAATTCGATGTCAGAACAGTATAAAAACAAAGCAAAGAATTTACATGGCCTAAAGTAGACGCCCGACTTAACGTATAATGGAATACAATCAGATGTAGGCTTGTCAGACAACAGCAAAGTATCTGCCGAAAAATCTCGACTTTCGGAAAATGCGTAGGGCCGGGAAAAATAAACCAAATACAAATATTTTTTTTAATCGAAACGGACGCAGAGTCCCGAGAAATCGATACCAAAAATATTTTACAATATGCCCACGAGAACAGAGCCATAGCGTAGTCGCTGGGTGGTTTGTCGAGAACCTGAACCAAACAAAAAAAAAGCCCTCGTCAATAACTGATGTAACGGAACGATTTTTATTTTCTGAGTGAATTCAAGGTTTTTTGTTATAACCGAGTTTGCGCTAAGAATCAGTGGAGTGACACTGCCTGTGGCTCAATCCAGGTATAAAGAGAGAAATAGTTCGTTACAGCACCGCGAAAAAGTAACAAAAAACAGAAAAACAAAATACTCGATAAAAATTTATCTGCTTTTTAATTTTGCCACATGATAATTATCTCCGCGAGTAAACATTTTTGCATGATGTTATTGATTGTATATAATTTTTTACAAATTGCATTATCGAACGTGACGAGGCTAATTTTAAAAGCAAAACAAAATAAAAAAGAAAAAGAAAATATGATAATGCTCATAAAATCAACAGACAATGCAAACCATGACATATATATATATATATATATATATATATATATATATATATATACTCTCTTATAATATATAATAATAAACTCAGCGATATATACACAAGACAAGTATCGCCTTTTTTTTTTGCTTATCGTATGGTTCGAATATTAGCCCTCAACAACAATGGCGTCATACAACTGATGGCCATACAATCGAGAATTTTCTTTAAACTAAAGCCCGCATATGCGGTCATGCCAATGAACAAGAACTGTATTATTAAAGTACCGCCATAGTTTTATACAGACAAGCATCTTTTCGATTTTGAGACTACAGTATTCATTACTTATCTAGGGAATTTAGAAAAAAAAATGCCATTGGATTTAATTGCTACTGCTTAGTGTTGAATCTTTCTATTTCTACAGTTAATTTAGTTGGAACCTGATGATCACATCCAATTCTTAGTACACCACGTGGTGTTATCTAGTACGTGTAAATTAGTGAAACACGACGATTTCTAAGTATGCATATTAGTACTTCCCAGAATTTTTTTACCATAATATCAGATAGATTAATTCCTAGCGTGATATATAGGAGTCGACAACGCCATTGTCATTGACAATATATGATATACAATTATACATCTTCCGGCTACGATGTGTAAAGGAAGGGGGGGGGGAGAGCTCTCGTACAGCGTTTTTTTCCGATAATAGACACACGTATCTAATTTTGAGCTTGACTGAGATAGTTCACAAACGCGCGGAACGGCGTCACGCAACTCACCAATAAACCAACAAACGGCTATCTTTCATCATTCGAATCTTCCACTGGTTAGATAGTTAACAAACAGTTCAGAAAATTAATATTTACAACAATTACTTCTATCGCTCTCATCGCTGAATAATGATACATGAACCGCTGTCCGCGTTCGTTGTTTACTTGATTACGGTGAATTACTCTGATCTCGCCCGATCATGTTCTGCTTTCTATTACTATCAACTGTAGTGGTGGTTTTACTGTTCGTGTGGTACAGGTGTGCAGACGCCGATCTTACGCTCTTGTTCTGCCAGAGATTCAGTCAGGATAATTTAAAGAAATACGCCGGTTAGTAAAATTAGTGCAGGGAATGATGAACGCTTCCATTTTGAGTTTTCGTACCCCAGTATGAGGTACTGTGCCTCTAATACAAATACATATTTCTCATGTTATTCCGACTGACGACCGGACTAGAATTTATGAGTAGTATGTTGTGCTAACTCTAGGTCATTGTACCTCTTCGGATTGGCCGATATTCAGTGCTTGTTTATTCGATGGAGTAGACTACGTCCTATATATTGTCCATATTGTGAAGTTACTAAATTGAATGGCTGGCTAACTCAAAGAGAATTCATTTTCTGTATACTGCTGTGCACATTTATTTTATTAATGGGTATTGTACCAGCTTTCTTTATTCTTTGTGGAGTTTGGTTGCTTGGATCTGCTTGAATCAGGTTTGTTTAAATTTTGAATCTAGAAGAAACGTTTTTTTTTTTCATATTTCATGTAAGAGGTGCCAACGTGCCGTTTCGTAGTAAAACGGTGAAGACATAGTGATTATGAATTTGTCTGTATAAACTGCGCCTAATAATAATGCGAATAATAGCCAACTTTTTCTTATCTATCTTAGTATCTCAGGAGTAGTGGTCTACTGTAAGATACAGGGTTAGAACTCCTGACTCCTTGATTTTATGCGACAAGCAGATAAATGTCGTAAATGTCTAATAAGTTGTTATGTACAGAAAAAAAAAGATTGACTCAAATATGTCGGTATGTGACATCACTTTGTCTAAGAAGCCTAAAGGAACCTCTCAGAAGACCATTGTCTAATTGCCTTAGTCACCCGCTCATGCATAAATAGCAAAAAACTGTCTATAGTCGTCATGTGAGTTATTAAGAATTGTCATTATTCTATTCGCTCCAAGGTCGAGTAATCTGGATAACCGGAGCTTCATCGGGGATTGGCGAGGAGATCGCCTACAGTTTCTCAAGGTTGGGCGCCCGTTTGGCAATCAGCGGGACACGGACTAATGCCCTTGAAAGGGTGAAGGGAGAATGTTTGAAAAGGGGAGCCTTAGAAGTCTTGTGCGTTCCGTTTAATTTGGCCGACTGTGCAAGCCACCAAGCGGCGTTTACCAGGGTCATTGAAACTTTTGGTGAGTATTCTTCATACTGATATATATACTTCTAATTTGCTTGGTCAGTAAGAGATTTCCCTCCCGAAATATATTCGAAGTTGGTCCCCGACGTCCCAAAGGGATGATTAGCCCTTCGATGCTCCTTCTAAAAAATCCCTTCCAGCCGTTCTTAGAAGTGAATCTTTGTATTTCTTTAAGCCTATTTTAATAAGAAGAAAAGTAATAGCATATGGTATCCTTACTTTTTCAATTAATAAATTTTAAATTGCTTTCTATACAATGAAATACTACTAATAAATACTGATGACAATTTATATTTATTGCATAATGAATAAAATAATTTCTGAGCAACTGACGAATATTTCTTTTTAAGACTTGAAGCAATACTGACAACGTTCCTCGTTCACCCTGGTTATGCAATATGGGTTTTGAAGCAGCTGGTCTGTTCCGATCAGCAGTAATAATGTCTTCTTTATTCACTCTCTGTTACAATAAATTATTAGGTGCGTTGCATGTGCTGGTAAACAATGCGGGCCAACTTCAGCGTGCGGAGTTCGTTTCCAGTTCTGTTGATATCGAAAAAGAGCTATTCAATGTGAACGTCTTCGGCATTACAAACATTTGCCGCGTAACAGTTAAACATTGGTCAGTAGCAAACCTGCTTACCTCTATTTCGATATATTTATTATCTCGCCGCTGGTACGCTGGACAAAGATCGAAACATTTTCGTTAGTTGTGTTTAGAAGAGTGGCAAGGAGGAAAGTATATTTGCAACAAATATTTGTATTTTATCTGAAGGGGTAAACAAACATGAATCTATAATTTTCATGTGCCCACTTAATGGCAGGCTACAGTTCAAAACATGTAATGATGACCGCGGATGCTTGTATGTAATGGAGAAGGAGATGCACGTTTTTAGATGAAATATCGATAAGTGTTGTGCAATTTTCGCCTAGTACGATACTTGTTTGACTTGGAGCATTTAATTTTCATTTATAAAATTCGACTACAGGTTATCGACTGATCAGGATATGGCTCAGCTTTTTGTTACATCTAGTGCTGCCGGCAAAATGGGATCACCGTTCAGTGCTGCGTACGCCGGATCGAAACACGCTTTACACGGATACCTTGAAACACTACGGGATGAACTCAGTTGCTCCGAGTCCAATATTAAAATCACAATCGGCTGTCCTGGACCGGTAAAATCCAATCTACGCGCTAATGCACTCACTGGAAAGGTTCGTACCCCAGTGTGAGACTACTTAAGACAAACTGCATTTAATAATGAACCGCTTTTGTTGTATCTGAAATGTGTCCGGCAGTCTGTTCCACCTCTAGTAAGCACACAAATCTGCATGAAAAGCCATAAAGGAAATACGACGAAGACATGGTTTATCCTGATGGACAGAACTGGCAACTCCTAAGCGATTTTTTAAGGAAGGCAAATACTCATTTTACTTTCGTCAACGTTAAGCTTGGCCACCTTAGAATAAGCTAGTAGCTAGCCTACTGGCCTAGTTCTGGACAACACTTGAACAAGTGAAAATCGCATCGTTACTGGTCAGAAAGTTAAATTAGCTTAGGTCGTACGGTATAAAACGGAAAACAATCTAAATCTCTTGACGTAAAGTCTATTGAAAGGAAATAAAAACTACTTTCGAACTGAGCTCTTGTTTGTTCCCATTGTTCTCTGTACCGCTAATAAAAATCAAACTTATAAGTTGCGCCGTCCATCGGGTCGTCGAAGACATTAAGACGGAGAGGCACTCGTTGTCGACATGCAAACTATACAGCTGTCTGAATCTGAAACCTTTTTTCATTTATAGGTGGGTGAGCGATATAATAGGGTAGACGACGCCAGTGAGAGAAGGCTGATGGATACTTCACGCTGTGCCGAATTCATCGTAACAGGAATCGCCAATTCGTTAGATGAACTTTGGATTGCTGAGCAACCTCTGTTAACTTTGTATTATATTTACCAGTATTTTCCAAGTACTTTCCGCCTATTCCTCATCAAGTTCATAATGACCAAAAAACGGATTCAAGAATTTCGAAAAGGGGAGTAGATGTTGGTTTTTGCAATCGCCAAAAACAATGAAGTCCGAAACAATTGTGAAATATCTTCTGGAACATCTTCCTGAGTACACGCAAACATGCTAATTAAAGTATGCTATTAAATCGTCCAAGAGTGTGAATTTATACTAACGCATTTTAATACAGATTCTCAGACTGTTACCGACTGAACTTTCAGCTAACCAAGGTTGAATTTTAAACATGATATTGAAAATCTTTGTTAGAGTATCCCTATCACTCGTTAAACAACTATGCAGACTATAAGTGTAACTCTTCTCTGAGCAGTACGCTTTTCTTAAAGAAATGCAGAAAGATGGCGGCGTTGTAAAAACGGATTATTGAAGACTTGGTATATGAGCCAATAGACTAATCCCTTACTTTTTACATCCGCCTGGTTTTTGCATGGTGCTTTTACCGAAATATTTAACAAAACATTTTCGTCTGCAGTACTTTAAGCCAGCATGGAAAAAACTAAGTAGCAGGGCCAAATAATAAAAAAAAAGACAAATTTAAATGTGATGGGTGACTGTCTCATATAGGGTGACTGCCTCATGTAGATGTTCCATAAAATAAAATTAAATCAATACTATTTAGCAAACATTTTTTATTAACTTTTGTTTTATTGTTCTGTAAAAAAATAAAAGTAAATAGAATATAAACGTCCTGCACAAGAAGTAACATTGTAGTTCAATAGTTGCTGATGTAAAGCTGCCTTTTTTCCCCCTTATTCTTCGATCGTTTTTATTGTTTTATTTTGACTTTTTAAATTCGAAGAAACACTTAAAATAAGAAAAATCTACGTTAGTTTGCAGAATGTCGTCCATCGCATCACATTATATTAGTCGTTCGGAGTATACTTAGTCATAGTTGTATTGAACAGTATCCAGCGTATATTTCGTAAGAAGATTCGAAAACAACGTTGATTTTCTATAAATCTGGCCATCATGTTCGACTATCCGTCCTGATAATAAACAAATGATTGCATGCTTAAGTCTTAATTTTGTGACAAAATTTGTCGGGATTTTTGACGGTGCGCTGTGTATCATCATATCAGAATACCAGATGCCTATGTAACCTGCTGAGCAAACTGACAGGCGAACAACAGTAAACCTCTAGTCTACAGGCACGAAAATTCCGTAGAATTTTACAACTGCTACCTCCTAGATATTCCTGTAAGCTAAAGCTTTAACAGGTAATAAACATGGTAATTCGGTGTCTCATAGAATATCTGGGCAAGAATTTGTTCGTTTGATCAATTAACTTCTAGAAATCAATAATACCAATTAACATAAAAAATTTAAAGCACTCTGGATCGATAGCTACGCTAGAGCTTTTCCACTTCATATAGATATTGCAGCATTACCCGCACCACTATGTACGGTTCACGTTTTATGTCAAATGAAATTTGTTCAACTGATTATACTGATTTATCTATAGGCTGTTTTATAATCTGTAGCTATTTTTTGTTCACGCATGCTGATTGCCAAATCAATGATTATTTTTAGTAAAAGCACACCTGACATTTCGAAGACCAGGATCGTTCTACATAGCTTTTCAAAATCGTCCAAGTCATACTGACCAGATATATATGCGTCAGAGTGATAATTACTACCCGATAGCCAATCATCGGTACTGATTAACTTCAGTAGGGGCTGAGAAAGATGACTCCACGTGCCAGAAAAGCGCTCACATTAACCTATAACCCATTTTCCCACATACTTCTTCCACATACTTACTACAAATGTTTAGATGAGATAAGCGCTGTTATCCTGACTATAGCACGATTATATCAATATGGACTTCCTGTTTGTTTCCCTTTTTCTGTCTGCTGTGACGTCTATTGATTTAGCATGGCAATTACCTTTACCTACACTATCGCCAATACCGCCAACAGGAATTAGGCATCGGCTCGAAATCAGATCCCAATCGCAAGTTACCGATCCATCAAGCATTCATGCAACTATCTAACACAGCTATTGTTTCGACTGCCCTCCTTCCCTGTTTTTCGTTGACGCGATTGGCAGGTATCCTATATTGTTATGCTTAGCTGATCGTGGGGTGAGACGGCCACCTGCTCAGAAAGGCCGCACTTCCTGTGGAGGCCATCGTATACATTGCTCATAAGGAATTGGGTATAGAAGAAGTATCTATGGTCAAACCGGGGTCTCCATTTAGACTCCCCGCGAACTCAGGATTGTAATGCCACTCGATGCGCTTGAACACTAACGGGGCCTACGAGCCTTGTTCAACACGAGTTCAGGCCATCCTCATTACTACTGCTTGTCTCAGTAGCAGCAGCAATGGAGCTATCACGATCGTCATCAATGAGCTGGCCGGCCAGCAGCGGCACGCGCGTTACAGCGAAGCAAACGGCTTCGGTTGGCCCCTCTCTTGGCTAGTCCGCGCGCACTCCGGTCGATATGTCCTTCCAAACTGATGAACAGGTTTAAGACGGATACGCTCGCTGAGCACTACATAGGTTCATAGTAGTCACTTTATAAAGAGAGGGAAGGAATGTAATGGGTAGGTACAGAAGTAGATTGAAAGTGAGGCCAGGACCCTACGACAATTCAAGTCATAATTCGCGACTACAAACAGCACCGTAGAGAGTGCCAAATGAAGAATCCAGCAAAAGGCCTGCTTGTGAGTGTGCCCAATACCTGGCCAGAGCAGTCGCACCTGTGAGAGACGACGAAGCACTGCCATTATCTCCGTAAGACTATCGTTATTTGTGTACGTGTGTGTCTTATGTAGCCGGCCGTTGTTGTCGTATGGCCACTGAGCGCGTCTATTTGTGGTCCAACCGACTGGGGCCGGGGGCTGATGAGGCCAACGACTACCTTTAGGAATGCTTTCGCACAATGACATAAACCCCAAGGGCCAGCCATTTGGGAGCGATCGCGGGATTCAATGATTTTCGATCGTAGAGGAGGACCGCAGCAGCAGCAGCAGCAATCGAATCAGGTTTCGTTCCCGGCTCTTTTTTAAGTTTGTTGTCCGGCGTGCGCTGATCTGAATTTGCATGATACACCTATACAGATAAGACAAGTAACAGATCGGAACATAGACGAAGAGGCACCCCAATACGCAGATACGAGCAGCATAACATGGGGTCAAACGCGGCTTAACATCGTTGGACGCTTTTTTAAACACAATTCAACTACGAACGGTTATTTCTGCAATTGATAGCTGCACTCTCCGCCTACCGGTACATATATGCCGCTGTTGTCCTGTTGCTGAGTTCGACTACGTTAATCTAAAAAAATAAGCTATTATTTAAACTTCATTGTAATAGTCATTTTTATGGGGGGCACATTAGAAAAAGTGTTTACCGTATCATTTTCCAGAATAATTAAAAAAGTTATTAACATGTTGGAAAGGAAGCGTACGTTCAGTATATACGGATCAAAGCGTAATACAAAACCATAAATCATCGTCATCACTGTAAACCTGATAGAGCCTTGGATTCTGAAGTAGGTAACTGTGCATTAATGTTATGCACAGCATGTTATACCGCAGTATTTTGCCACAGTGGGACTCTCTTATTAGTCATAATAGGGGATGCGTACAGCCTGCTATACTTTCCTCCTTCTTACTATCATAATAACATTATTAGTACAAGCAACGAGTTACGTTATGGCATTGGCAAACAATAAGTAAAATAAACGTTTCTCTGACTAGTGGTACAATACTTATGGTGCCATACAAGACTCACTAGTTAAGTTAAAAGTAACTAGTTTACTTTTAGCTAATGCTCCATTACAGGTACTCACTTCAACACTGGCTGATGCGGTATCGTGACATTTATGCAGCCTAATCCATTATCGGTCAGCCCATAAGCTAATAGGTAGCTTTACAATAGCCGCCGGTGATTATGAAACCGCAGTTTGCTCTTCTTTCCCTACATGTCATAACAAATTGACTTTCCACAGACAGGTTACCTGTACCTTATATAAAGGCCGAAAATGAAATGTAGTTGTAGATCACTCTGCGCAAATCAACATTAAATCTTCCATCTAAATAAAAATTCCATCTAAGTATTGTCCATACGTAGCTATGCCCGTAACAGCACAACCGGGTACCGTATGACGACCATTTCTCTCCAACGACATTTGAGGTCCATTAGGAGGTCCAAATGACTGTAATCATATATAACTGAGTGCTAGAGAAGTTTATAGTGTTCGAACTTATATTATTTTTATTGTTAATCAATTCCAGCGTTAGAACATGGTAAATGTCACTGCTGTCGTTGCGACGCACATGCCCTCTCTATCAAAAACAACATCCGATTAAGATGGCAGGGCCTAGCCTGTGAAACGAACAGAAGCTAGGTCGGATCGCGCAGACAAACGTGCCTACGAAAATAAAGTGGAATATACTACACGCAAATCTGACAAACTTGCCTACCTAGTTATAGAAACTTCACCAGTTGAGTATCAATGAAGATTTGATCAGAGTCTTCGAGCCTGTTTCTAAATTAAAGAAAGCCTTGAAAAACGGGTATGTTGAATCCACTATCAATAACTTTTACTGGAAAAATTCAGTAGGTTAAAAGATTTCAACTTTGATTAAACGTAGCCAAAATAGTGTTTAGGTTCGATCTCAAGTGCGAATCAAAAGCGTCTGTTCGTAACAAAAAAGAGGTTATGTTTAAGATAGAATTTTTAACACAGCTGCTGCCTTTTAACGAAATATACACAGATACTACACGTCGACCGAACAAATCTGATTTACTCATTCGTCCTGGTAGTTGTCTAACATTTTATAGAATATCAAACTTAAACAACACAATATGGATAGCGATTACCAAGCCTGTACCACGATCAACCTATTCAAGATAGTTGTTACTCCATAATATATTGTTTGCTGACGTAGAATATGCATAGGTTTTTGCGTACAGCCGTTATCACCATGGTAGCCAATTTAGCTGCTCATTTAGGGGATACGTTGTGGCTTGCGTTCGAATTCGGGCGCAGACACTCTTCGTTTCGCGGAAAAAAAATTCATTCAAAAACATAGAGATGCTGCATTCAGCAAATATGCGTTGTAAAATGCTCTCACGTATGGTAAACATGTTATATAGTAAAGGCCATCCATAGAAGGTAATTTTAAACCGAATTAGTGCCAGCCAGTGCCATGTATGTACCCTTCTTTTCCTGCGAGTTTTTTTTTCCTATTTGAAGCCTCCAGCTGATTATTCCGTTCCCCACTTTACCACCCAAAAGATCCGCCAGGGTCTCGACTTTCCAGTGTCAAATGAAGAAAACCATAGCTTCATCGTTTCCCCCTCCTTATATCTTCGTTCAAGTTCGTGTCGTGTATTCAGCATTCAGCATAACACACCGGATGTTGTACGCGCGAACGATCATCATCGCGGCCTCTTGCTGATGCTCTGCGCCGCAGCAGCGCCCAACATTGCTGAAACTGTACAGAGGAACAATAGCGAGGTGAACGGCCCTTCTGACTCTGTTGAGCCGTTCCCGCTGTTTCTAATGGAACTCGAAAACGAACCGACAAACGGACGATTCAACTTCGCCTCTGCCGTAGTGCTTCATCAACGTCGGAACAGAAAAAGAAAAAACGAAGGCGAAGGCGAGCAAACGACACTGGACGAGTGCTGCGGTGCAGCAAGAGCAGAGACTACCAACGAGTCAAGCTGGCTGGTTTGACTTGGCTTTATGCTTTATCGTGCTTTACCAAGCGAAGTCTCTGACAATCAAACCCCGTACAATCATCATCCTATAGTCCACCCACTAGGATGACAGAGAGGGAAAGGAACAAGCTTCGAGCCGCTGTATGACAAAGTGGAGATACTACTGTATGCATACGCTACAGTCTGTCATAACAGTACGGGTATCCCTACGTCCGGTACGGCAGGCAGTGTTAGGGGGACGATAGCAATGGATGGAACGAAGAACAATTGTCATATAGCATCGTGCGATTCCTGCGAATGGAGCTTGATGGGCATCAGAAGAGCTATAGGACGTTCACGCCGGAGATGTAGCAAAGAGATTCATACACTATATGAGAAATAATGTATGGAAGTTGTCGTTTGCAGCAATGCAGTGCTGCGTTATGCTGTGAGGCACTGGCAAGCGTAGGAGCAAAAGGAAGTGTAATGCAGCGAAATCCGATGAGGCAAAACGAGACCTTGATCCTGCTTGGACCTAACGTCGAATGGGAAACAGATCTATCATTGGCCCTCTCAGATTCTCTGGTTTCAGGCTGCTGGAATGGTTTT